TGTTGGGGGGGAATTGGGCCCTAAAATGAGGATTGCAGGAAACAGGGGCCTACAAAAAAGAGTTTGGAGGAAACGACCCTACAAAAGGAGAGTTGAGACAACTATTTAAATTTTCCCAAATGTGCTGATTTCTATCATCAAACAGGGAAAAACCCACGATGAAAATTTAGTATAAGCGTCTGGTCATAAAACTAAAAGTGAATGCTTTTTAAAAATTTTAATTTTTGTTTAGATTGACTGATTGGCTGATTTTTTTGATGAGGGACAGACTGATTGACCCATCTTTTACCAGTGATTTAATCTTCGTGTTATTTTTGTGTTTCAGGTTAAAGATGCTCCCGTACTTACCAGTCAGAAGGGGATCATTGAGTTTTCGGGGTCCCTGAAAAAAAATACCCCAAAACCCTGGATGTCCTTTATCATATCGTCCCCCCGGCCATACGTGAGCCCTTCGACCTTGACTGGAAAACGACCCCCCCCCTGGGGGAAGAGGGAGACGGAAAAGTATGACGGGTTGGGGGTCTGGGAGGGTCTCCCGGGGGTGGTCTTCTGGAACACCAAAAACAATAAAACACACACACACACAAAAATTTTGCCATCAAAAAATGCAATTATTTTTCGTTGTCCAAGCATCCCTCCCCATACCCAACCCACCCCCCACCAGGGGGCATTTTGTTCACAAGTTGACATCGCAAACCATAAACAAATTTAAAAATAAAGGTTAAATAAAAAAAAAAAACGTTTCTCCCCCATGACCCCCAATCTGCCCAATGTGAAACTGGGTTCACCCATGAGGAGCGACTTTCAGCGTGCCGGGGCCACGAAGGTGGCTTTGCCCCCCAAAGGCGGTTACGACCCCAAAAAGCAGTCAGGTAAAGCCCGGGTGAGGACGCGAGCACGCAGATGAGCCCCCCAGACTTTTTCTGAATTTTGTGCAGAAATTGGGGTTTTGGCCTTTTATTTCCCAGCAAAAGGTGCAATGTTAATGTAAAGTGTTTGATCAGTTTCTGTATGCCACACCTGTAGGGGATGGATTTCTCGGCAAAGGAGAAAAAGCTCCAGGGAGTAAAAAAAGTTTTTGCCCCCAACATTGAGAGAAATAAGTATTTAAAAAGGTAAGCCCTGTGTCTTGATATGGAAGTTTAGTTTAGCCCCATCAACAATGCTTTTTTTATCTTTTTTATCAAGAGGCCTATTTTCAATATCCACCCCCTCCCCCAAAAAAAAATGAAAACACATCTATATTTTTAGATTGATTGTGGGTGTTTTTTTCCCCCTGTGGGGTGGGGAGGAAAGAAAGAGAGGAGAGAGAGAGAGAGTGCAAGATGAAGATCAGTCCAGAAAACCCGGCCAAGCCCTTCTACCGCCCGGGGGAGGGCCCCCCCCCAAAATAAACGCCCCCCCAAAAAAAAAACCCCCGGCCCCCAAAACCCCCCCCCACCCCCAAGTTTAAACCCCCCCCCCACCAGCCCCCCCACCCCCCTTTCCCCTCCCCCCCCCCTACCCCCCCAAAACCCCCCCAAAACCCCCCACCCCCCACCCCCACCCCCCCCAAACCCCCCACCCTACAGCCCCCTACCCCCCTACCCCTCCCAACCCCCTTTCCCCCTTTCCCCTCCCGCCCCCCACCCCCACAGCCCCCTCCCCCTACCCCCCCCCAACCCCTACCACAAAAGAATACTAAATCCTCAGTGGACACAAAAGCCAGGAATTAAGAGGTGGAAGAAAGTGAATTAGAAGAAAGGAGGATGAATCTTAGGATCAAGGGAACGGAGGGAAAGAAAGCATGTCTAATCCAGAGATGGAGGAGTGAAGACGAGGAACGGAGAGAGAGAAAGAGCACCTCACCCCTCATTAAACCCAAATCACTTTTCATGTGGAATTAGATTCAGGGATAGAGAGATAGAGGGATGAAATGAAGAGATGGAGCTGATACATCCATTGTTCCCCAGTGGGACCTCTCTATAGCCAGCCCTGCCTGCTGAGAAAGCCCCAGCCAGCCCAGCCTGCTGAGAAAGCCCCAGCCAGCCCAGCCTGCTGAGAAAGCCCTAGCCAGCCCTGCCTCCTGAGAAAGCCCCAGCCAGCCCAGCCTGCTGAGAAAGCCCTAGCCAGCCCTAGCCAGCCCAGCCTGCTGAGAAAGCCAGCCCTGCCTGCTGAGAAAGCCCCAGCCAGCCCAGCCTGCTGAGAAAGCCAGCCCTGCCTGCTGAGAAAGCCCTAGCCAGCCCTAGCCAGTCCAGCCTGCTGAGAAAGCCCTAGCCAGCCCTAGCCAGCCCAGCCTGCTGAGAAAGCCAGCCCTGCCTGCTGAGAAAGCCCCAGCCAGCCCTGCCTGCTGAGAAAGCCCCAGCCAGCCCAGCCTGCTGAGAAAGCCCTAGCCAGCCCTAGCCAGCCCAGCCTGCTGAGAAAGCCCTAGCCAGCCCAGCCTGCTGAGAAAGCCCTAGCCAGCGGTCACTTCTCTCATCAATAAGACAGGATATCTCTTAGTACAGGCCTAACGTCTATCTTCTAGTGTTGTTCTGCCCGAGCTAGCTAACTGGGGTGTTCTGTTCATAACTCAGGATCAGTAACCCTGTTATTCATTATATGGGTGCTGAGATTAGGGCTTCTGATGCTGGTGAGCGTGAAATGCTATGTTATGCTACGTCATGTTATGTCATGTTGCATTACATTACTTTATATTATGCTACGTTACGTTATGTTATGTAATGCTATGTAATGCTATGCTATGTAATGTTACATTACGTTACGTCACATAATGTCATGTTTCTAATGGTGGTATCCTGTTTGTGTTTGCAGTGGGACCTCTGATTGGACGTTACTGTGGGACTAAGATCCCTCCTGAGATGACGTCGTCTACAGGAATCCTCTCTCTGTCCTTCCACACGGACATGGCTGTGGCCAAAGATGGCTTCTCCGCTCGCTACAACATGACACACAAAGAAGTCAGCGACAGTAAGTACTGGTGTGTGTGTGTGTGTGTGTGTGTGTGTGTGTGTGTGTGTGTGGTGTGTGTGTGTGTGTGTCCGTGTATATCAGTGTTTCTCTTCTATCTCGGACCCCCAGAAAGGTGCCCCCCCCGTTTTTTTTCTTCCTGACATCCCCATTTTTCACATAAACAGGAAGTGAGTTAGTGTGTGTTAGTTCTGTATCAGACTGTCCACCTCTCATTGATTGATTGATTAATTGATTGGTTGGTTGATTGATTGATTGGTTGATTGATTGGTCCACATCTCTCCTCCCCCAGCCTTCCATTGCAGTAACGCGTTAGGTCTGGAGTCAGGGAAGATCTCTGATGACCAGATAACCGCCTCCTCTTCCTTCTATGACAACACATGGTTGCCACGGCAGGCCCGCCTTAACAACGACAACAACGCATGGACGCCCAACGAGGATAGCAGCAAGGAGTTCATCCAGGTGAGACTCTGTGGTCCTCTGTAGCTCAGCTGGTAGAGCACGGCGCTTGTAACGCCAAGGTAGTGGGTTCGATCCCCGGGACCACCCATACACAAAAAAATGTATGCACGCATGACTGTAAGTCGCTTTGGATAAAAGCGTCTGCTAAATGGCATATTATTATTATTATTATAGACTCCATGTTTAAAAGGCCATGGTGGTGCAGACAGAAATGGAATCTCATTCTAGTGCTGTGAGTGTAGGTGATCTAAAAGCCGGGATTCAGTCCAATGCAGATCAACGACCTGTGATAGACTTTTAAAAGGTAGTTTAACCAATGTCTGCAGAGATCAAGAGGTCAAGCTGGAATCACCTTTAGAAGTAATTGCAGAGCACAGGTTTATCTGTTTGAATCCGAGTCTTTCTGCTAAAGGGTTTTAGAAACAGCCAGACAATAAAGTGTCTCCATGAGTCAGAATATAGATGGACACAACATTAATAATGGCTTTATACTATGTGGTATTATGTGGTACTATGTGGTACTATGTGGTATTATGTGGTACTATGTGGTACTATGTGGTACTATGTGGTATTATGTGGTACTATGTGGTACTGTGTGGTACTATGTGGTACTATGTGGTATTATGTGGTACTATGTGGTATTATGTGGTACTATGTGGTACTATGTGGTACTGTGTGGTACTATATGGTACTATGTGGTACTTTGTGGTACTATGTGGTACTATGTGGTATTATGTGGTATTATGTTGTACTGTGTGGTACTATGTGGTACTATGTGGTACTGTGTGGTACTGTGTGGTATTATGTGGTACTGTGTGGTACTGTGTGGTACTATGTGGTACTATGTGGTATTATGTGGTACTGTGTGGTATAACAAGTTAGGAACCAGATGCCGCTAGAAGACATTGTTTCCTGTACGCTGTCTGTATGCCATCTCCCAGGCATGTTGCTGTCTGGCTGAGTTACGACAAGCCTCTCACAACCATGAGAGGACTCTGAGGACAGCGGACACACACGCACGCACAAACACACACACACACACACACACACACACACACACACACACACACACACACACACACACCACACAACACACACACACACACACACACACACACACACACACACACACACACACCGTGACACACACAGTGACAGTGACAGTGACAGTGACAGACAGGTCTCTAAATCGTGGTGGCCTTCTCTCTGGCCAAGCAGGAAGACAGGAAGGGCCTAGTTTAAGGCCAGGAAGAGCTCCAAGGCTCCAGGGCCTAGTTTAAGGCCAGGAAGAGCTCCAAGGCTCCAGGGCCTAGTTTAAGAACAGGAAGAGCTCCAAGGCTCCAGGGCCTAGTTTAAGAACAGGAAGAGCTCCAAGGCTCCAGGGCCTAGTTTAAGGCCAGGAAGAGCTCCAAGGCTCGAGGCACACTGCCAGGGTTGCTGTAGGAGAGACAGCAGACAGTGACAGCAGGGCCATTGGCATAGGGTGCCAATCCCAGCTGAGCCTCCTCTCTCTCTCTAGATAGTGGCCAGTGGCTGTGTAGTAGCCTGTAGTAGCCTGTAGCAGCACTGTAGCATCATGTAGAAGCCTGTAGCAGCATGTAGCATCCTGTAGCATCCTGTAGCATCATGTAGAAGCCTGTAGCATCCTGTAGCATCCTGTAGAAGCCTGTAGCATCCTGTAGCATCCTGTAGAAGCCTCTATCATCCTGTAGTATCATGTAGAAGCCTGTAGCATCATGTAGCATCATGTAGTAGCCTGTAGTAGCCTGTAGTAGCCCTGTAGCAGCCTGTAGTAGCCTGTAATAGCCTGTAGCAGCCTGTAGTAGCCTGTAATAGCCTGTAGCAGCCTGTAGTAGCCTGTAATAGCCTGTAGTAGCCTGTAGCAGCCTGTAGTAGCCTGTAGAAGCCTGTAGCATCATGTAGCATCATGTAGTAGCCTGTAGTAGCCTGTAGTAGCCTGTAGTAGCCCTGTAGCAGCCTGTAGTAGCATGTAATAGCCTGTAGTAGCCTGTAGCAGCCTGTAGTAGCCTGTAGAAGCCTGTAGCATCATGTAGCATCATGTAGTAGCCTGTAGTAGCCTGTAGTAGCCTGTAGTAGCCCTGTAGCAGCCTGTAGTAGCCTGTAATAGCATGTAGTAGACTGTAGCAGCCTGTAGTAGCCTGTAGCATCCTGTAGTAGCCTGTAGCAGCCTGTAGTACCCTGTAGCAGCCTGTAGCAGCCTGTAGTAGCCTGTAGTATCCTGTAGTAGCCTGTAGCAGCCCTGTAGCAGCCTGTAGTAGCCTGTAGTAGCCTGTAGTAGCCTGTAGCAGCCTGTAGTAGCCTGTAGCATCCTGTAGTAGCCTGTAGCAGCCTGTAGCAGCCTGTAGTAGCCTGTAGTAGCCTGTAGTAGCCTGTAGCAGCCTGTAGTAGCCTGTAGTAGCCTGTAGTAGCCTGTAGCAGCCTGTAGTAGCCTGTAGTAGCCTGTAGTAGCCTGTAGCAGCCTGTAGTAGCCTGTAGTAGCCTGTAGTAGCCTGTAGAAGCCTGTAGCATCATGTAGAAGCCTGTAGCATCCTGTAGCATCATGTAGAAGCCTCTAGCATCCTGTAGCATCATGTAGCAGCCTGTAGCAGCCTGTAGCATCCTGTAGCATCATGTAGAAGCCTGTAGCAGCCTGTAGCAGCCCTGTAGCATCATGTAGAAGCCTGTAGCAGCATGTAGCATCCTGTAGCATCCTGTAGCATCATGTAGAAGCCTGTAGCATCCTGTAGCATCATGTAGAAGCCTGTAGCATCATGTAGCATCATGAAGAAGCCTGTAGCATCATGTAGAAGCTTGTAGCATCCTGTAGCATCATGTAGCAGCCTGTAGCAGCCTGTAGCATCCTGTAGCATCATGTAGAAGCCTGTAGCAGCCTGTAGCATCTTGTAGCATCCTGTAGCATCATGTAGAAGCCTGTAGCAGCCTGTAGCATCCTGTAGCATCCTGTAGCATCATGTGGAAGCCTGTAGCATCCTGTAGCATCCTGTAGCATCATGTAGAAGCCTGTAGCAACCTGTAGCGTCCTGTAGCAACCTGTAGCAACCTGTAGCAAACCTGTAGCATCATGTAGCAGCCTGTAGCAACCGTGTGTAGCAGCCTGTAGCATCCTGTAGCAGCCTGTAGCATCCTGTAGCAGCCGTGTAGTAGCCTGTAGCATCCTGTTACTTGCCCCTTACTTTTTTGTTTAACACTTTTTTGGTTACTACATGATTCCATATGTGTTATTTCATAGTTTTGATGTCTTCACTATTATTCTACAATGTATAAAATAGTAAAAATAAAGAAAAATCCTTGAATGAGTAGGTGTGTCCAAACTTTTGACTGGTAGTGTACTTTAAAGATTTTTTCATTGGCAAGATTAGCAAACTTAGGCATGACATGCCAGCAACAAACGCTGACACTACATATCCAAGTATAACTGATCAAATTATGAAAGACAAGCATTGTGATTTTGAATTCTGTAAAATGAGTGTGGAAGAAGTGAAACAATTACTGTTGTCTATCAACAATGACAAGCCACCGGGGTCTGACAACTTGGATGGAAAATTACTGAGGATAATAGCGGACGATATTTTCAATCTAAGCCTAATAGAAAGTGCGCCCCCCTCAGGCCTGGAGGAAAGCAAATGTAATTCCGGTACCCAAGAATAGCAAAGCCCCCCTTTACTGGCTCAAATAGCCGACCAATCAGCCTGTTACCTACCCTTAGTACATTTTTGGAAAAAAAATGTGTTTGACCAGATACACAATGCCATTTTACAGTAAACAAATTGACAACAGACTAACAGCACGAATAAAGGGAGGGGCATTCAACAAGCACAGAACTTACTCAAATGATTGATGATTGGCTGAGAGAAATAGATGATTAAAAAAAAGATTTAAAAAAAATATATGCACTGGGAGCTGTTTTGTTATACTTCAGTGTGGCTTTTGACATTATCGATCATAGCCTGCTGATGGAAAAACATATGTGTTATGGCTTTACACCCCCTGCAATAATGTGGATAAAGAGTTACTTGTATAACAGAACACAGAGGGTGTTCTTTCATGGAAGCCTCACAGCTCGGACACCCATGCATACCCCACAAGACATGCCACCATAGGTCTCTTCACAGTCCCCAAGTCCAGAACAGACAATGGGAGGCGCACAGTACTACATAGAACCATGGCTACATGGAACTCTATTCCACATCAAGTAACTCATGCAAGCAGTAAAATTAGATTTTAAAAAACAGATAAAAATACACCTTATGGAACAGCGGGACTGTGAAGAGACACACAGACACATGATAAGATGTGCACTCCACACACACACGTACACATGGGTGTTGTATTATAAAAATGTGATAGTGGAGTAGTGGCCTGAGGAAACACACTAATATCTCTCTCTCTCTCTCAGTATAGTGACAAGTGCCGAGTGACATTCTGTGACGGTCTTTGGCAGTGTCTCTCTCTCGGTATAGTGGCCATTGCTGAGTGTCAGTCTGTGTTAGTCTGTGGCAGTCTGTGTTAGTCTGTGGCAGTCTGTGACGGTCTTTGGCAGTGTCTCTCTCTCTCGGTATAGTGGCCATTGCTGAGTGTCAGTCTGTGTTAGTCTGTGGCAGTCTGTGACGGTCTTTGGCAGTGTCTCTCTCTCGGTATAGTGGAAAGTGCAGGGTGTCATTCTGTGTCGGTCTGTGGCAGTCTGTGTTAGTCTTTGGAGGTCTGTAACGGTCTGTGGCAGTCTGTGTTAGTCTGTGGCAGTCTGTGACGGTCTTTGGCAGTGTCTCTCTCTCTCGGTATAGTGGCCATTGCTGAGTGTCAGTCTGTGTCAGTCTGTGTTAGTCTGTGACGGCCTTTGGCAGTGTCTCTCTCTCTCGGTACAGTGGCAAGTGCAGGGTGTCATTCTGTGTCGGTCTGTGGCAGTCTGTGTTAGTCTTTGGAGGTCTGTAACGGTCTGTGGCAGTCTGTGTTAGTCTTTGGAGGTCTGTAACGGTCTGTGGCAGTGTCTCTCTCTCAGTACAGTGGCAAGTGCAGGGTGTCATTCTGTGTCGGTCTGTGGCAGTCTGTGTTAGTCTGTGGCAGTCTGTGTTAGTCTTTGGAGGTCTGTAACAGTCTGTGGCAGTCTGTGTTAGTCTGTGGCAGTCTGTGTTAGTCTTTGGAGGTCTGTAACGGTCTGTGGCAGTCTGTGTTAGTCTGTGGCAGTCTGTGTTAGTCTTTGGAGGTCTGTA